GCAGAATTAGGTAGGTGAATGCAAGTTTTAAAAGTAAAAGGTTTACAAATACATCTCAAAAATCATTAAAAAAATGTACTATGTAAAAGGAGAAGAGACTATAATGCAAACTGTAAGAGATAGGGTCTTTCATTTATAAAAAAGATCTGATAAATTCGAGAAAGCACTAACAATTCAAAAGGAGAACAGACCAAAGATTTGAAATTCACAGGAAATGGTTGGGGGAAAAAGACACACAGGACCAGATGGTGGCACAGGAGGAAAACAAACACTTCCCACACAGGATGGCTCCCGGTTTGTGTCCAGAGACCTCCCCGATGATGTGTACCATGGTCTGGGACCAACTGAGGGCTGGGGGTGCCGCAGCATCGAGACCCTGCCAGGAGTGCTCTCTCTCTCTGTCTCTGTCACTCATGAAGAAAGAAACATTTTTAAATAGGTTACCATTTATATTTAAAAAATATAAATGTAAACAATTTCAAGTCGGTGCCACCCCATCAACCTGGAAAGCGTGGAGTCAGCAATCGCTGCCCCAGCCGTCAGTAACAGGGCTGGGGGTGCCGCAGCATCGAGACCCTGCCAGGAGTGCTCTCTCTCTCTGTCTCTGTCACTCATGAAGAAAGAAACATTTTTAAATAGGTTACCATTTATATTTAAAAAATATAAATGTAAACAATTTCAAGTCGGTGCCACCCCATCAACCTGGAAAGCGTGGAGTCAGCAATCGCTGCCCCAGCCGTCAGTAACGGCGAGTCAGTGCCACCCCATCAACCTGGAAAGCGTGGAGTGGGCAATCGCTGCCCAGCCGTCAGTAAAGGCGAGTCACGGGATCCTCCTGGAGCAATTTTGCAATATGTGTCAAGAATGTCCAACAATATAACATCTTCAGTCTAGGAATTCTACTCCTTTGAATTAACTCTAGGAAAATAATTAGAGATGCAAAGATTTATAAACCAAAACACTCAGTGTAGGATAATTTATAAACAAAAGTAGGGGCCCAATCCCAATGTTCAAAATCACGAGGCGGAACATGCATCAAGGCCTCGCACGTCAGTGCACTCCTAGAGACCGTTAAAAGCACCAAGCAGGCCCGGCAGGGTGGCCAGGCGGCCCGAGCCACAGTGCAGTATCAGGGCCACCTGCCTGGCCCGGGCTTACCTGACACTGCAGGGCGAACCCAGGACCGCAGGTGCTCTGCCTGCGGGTGCCGGCGGAGGGATCACCTCACAGCAGAATTCCCGGGGGTTGACTCTCTCTCAATAAATAACATAAACCAAGGCCCACTTGGTAGCCTCGTGGTGAAGGAAGCTGAATCCCACGTCGCTGATCGCAATTAAAATCTGAGTCCCAGTGGCTTAAAAATTATTCCAGGGCTTGTGAGTGCCCCTCACCCCGGGGTTGGAGAAATGGAAAGGGATTGCAGCATGACCACACTCACGGGGGAGGCTTTCTCCCTCCCACTCTCTGTCTCGCTTGGCCAGTGCATACTCCCTCTGGCAGTTAAAATTTAAAAAAATAAAAACCTTTAAAAAACGTAAAAGGAGAAAGCAGCGTTTGCCAAATATGAAAGAATGTGGGCGACTCAGACTCGCTTTTTATTATCATGCAAATCAGGTAATTTGCATGCGTGTACGTCTGCACAAATACATGAATGCTACCTAGACAGGCAATTATACAAGAATAAAGGATTAAAAGGAACTGTAACACATGGTTAATAATAGTTATTGCTCTCTTGGAATTTTTCTATATTAAAAACAACTCCTAGCCCTGTAAGCTACATTTATAATATAATACAGGAAAGAGAAGGTAAAATAAAAAAAATTAAAAAAAAAAAAAAAAAACCCATAAAAAAAGCCATACCAGAGGACTTTGTAATAAAAACAGGTCTGTTCTAAAACTTCACACAAATTCCGGTAGAAGTAGGGAATGTATTATCCCTAATGCCCAAAGATGTGGACTGAAAATAAAGCGGATTTTAAATTGGTTTAGACACCTTTCTAGTGCATTCTGTGGCACAGAGCACCTGTAGCCGTCAATAATCCTGAAATAAACGGGCCCTGCTCTGACTCAGGCACGAGAAATCTCACATTTCCCTTCTGCATCAGGAACACTGCGATGTGTCACCTTGTGAGTCACAGAAATGCTCCTTTCAGTGACTAGTTTTAAAAGAACAAGCCAGAAAGGGCCCAAAAGCACCACTCTCAATTGTCCCAAAAAAGGCGGACGCTGGCTGCTTATGACCTGTCCCTGTCCTTCCATGGCGTCAGTTTAAAGGAGGAACCCTGTGGCTCGTCACCCACGCTCCCCACGCAGAATCACGCTCTCCGAGAACGACACTCAGAACGCGTCCCATTTAAAGCAATGAGCCACCTTGCCTGATTTACAACAGGCTTTTCTATCCTGTAGGAGTCGATAAAACTTCTAAACTGAGCAATTCAGTTCCGACTTGATAGATTACCACGGGCCAGCCTGCTAGCCAGGTGGTTAAGAGAGCCATACCCCCTGCCGCCCTCTGTGGTTTGAATCCCAGCCCCTACAGCTTGAAAAAAATAAATAAATAAATAAACCAAGCAGGGCCGTGTGCGCATGCCCAAAGCCCCCACCGCACCTAGAAACGGAGGCAGGGGACTGTGGGAAGACCACACCCCATTGGGGAGCACTTTCTTGCTCTCTCTTCTCTCACAAGCACACATGTCCTCTGGCAATAAAAAATTTTAACGTAAAAAACAGAACTCTTTTTTTCAATGTACTCTGAAAAATACTGGCTTTTAACTTTACTTGCTAAACCAGAAAGGACTTTTTGTTTTATTTATTTTTTAAAAACCTATTAAAAATGGATTGTATCGTGGATCTATACTGACATCAGTGTAGCACATGGCCCCTCGTTTGCAGAACGTAACAACTGTGGTTTCCTTTTTTTTCCTTATAAGAGAGAGATTTTTGCTATAGGGCACATGTGTTCCCAGAGGGATAGAGATGGTAAGAAAGCAAGAAATCACCCCCAGGGAGGATGGCCACGCCATAATTCCTTCTCCTCCATTCTCCTCTCTGGATTTTGGGTGCGTACACATGCGCCCAGCGTGAGTTTTAAGCCGCTGGGTCTGGGACTTGAACTGTGGTCGACTATGTGAGATTACAGCAATGTAACCATTATGCCATCTGCTGGTGTCAGAACTGTGGTCTCCTTACACCGTCATGGCCCACTGGCTGCAGGTCTTCTCATGCCCCTGGCCATCACCTCCTGCCTCTCCCTCTCCCCTCCAGCAGCCTCTGCCCTCCGGCCGCCTCACTGCAGTCATTCTTTGAGCTTGCCCCCTCCTTCCTGCTTCTCTAACGCCAGCAGCCACGGCTACACGTACAATGTGCCTTGAGTTCCTGCCTTTCCAGTGAGGCAAGGAGCAGCTTCAAGTCGTTTTGCTGCTAAAATAACTATCATGTTTGAAATCTAAGTAAAGTCGATTTCCCCACTGGATGGCAATATCTCGCCTGTATCGCTTTTTGTGTTCCGCTTCAGTGTGAGCCCCACCCCACTTATCTGTCCTCTCACCCCGGGTCTTCCTGTTGAGCTACCGCCCACACAGTGTCATGAGGGCTACCCTTGCTCCCACCTCCCACGGTAGCCCTAATGCCTCCAGAGGTGCGATTTATCTTGATTCAAGTTCTATTTCTTAAATATAAAATACCTCTTTTTTAAGAGAGATTTTTTTGCTACAGGGCACATGCACTCACCAGAGAGACAGAGAGAGAGTGAGAAATGACCCCCCAGGGGGATGGCCACACTGCAATCCCTCCTCCCCCATTCTCCTCTTGGGATTTTGGGCACACACATACAACGCCCAGCATGAGTTTGAAGTTGCCGGGCCCGGGACTTAAACTGCGGTTGGCCATGTGGAAGTCCAGCACCTTAACCACGATGCCGCCTGCTGGCCCTAAATACAAAATATTTTTATTCCTCTGTCATCTCCTGACAGACACAGTAGAAGCCAAGAAGTCAAGGAACCTGGCTTTCTAGTGATAGAAGACTCTCTCTCTCCATGTGTGAGACCAAATGCACACACACACACACACACACACACACACACACACACGTACATATTATATAAAGATGCAGGAAAATATGATTTTATTATTTCCGTTCCGTCTGATTACCGTTATTTCTCATAACAGTTAACAATACTGACCACAGTACTGGTCATCACATTTCTCTGCTTTTGGAAATGAGGGGTATGTTTATGTCTGATCATGGCGGTGGCTTCTGGGTACATACGCATTTCCAAACTCACCGACTGTATGCATCACATCATGTACAGCTTCGTGGGAAAGGATACTCCAGTGCTGGTGATCAGTCTCTGGTGGCCACATTTTCAGCGTGTGCCTACACACATTTCTGGCAACATGAATTGAAATTTGTATTGTCCTTTTATCATTTAGCGATGTAATTCCTAGTAGATTTGTGACGGCTCACCTAAGCCTTTTCTCCTTAACCAGCACTTTTTGCCTGGTTCCTTATTTCTCATTTGAACCGTAAACCATGATTATGAAGTTGAATTTTCACCCACCGGTGTTCTCCTGCTTTGGTTGGACACTGGGAAATGCTCTGGAGTGTTCTTCCTACGTGGCTTGGAGATGTTCCTTCCTGTTTAGATCTGAACCCCTTCAAGCCCCTGGTGTGTTGTAGGGTCTAGGACTTTTCACGTCAGCTTCATGATGCCTGCTCTGCCTGCCTGGTGGGCTCAAGTCCTTTTCCTGGGTCCCTGTAAGGTGTCCTGTCGAGGCCCTCACTCATGCCCTCTGGCTCTGAGTGACTCAGAATAAAGGGATGACCTCGCAGTGTCGAACGTGCTTCCCAGGCAGGCATCTCTCTGTGTGACAGGTGGAGACAGGACATACGCACTTGTTAGATGACTTGGAAACTCTTACAGAGACCTTCGTTTTATTATGCATTGTTCAGCGTTTTGGGTAATCTCGATTTATGAAAACTGATTCCTCCTCTATTTTAGATGGCCCCGTAGTCTACGCAGCGTACTTAAAAATGGAGCACAGTGACGAGAACATCAAATTCTGGATGGCGTGTGAAACCTATAAGAAAATCGCCTCACGGTGGAGCAGAATTTCTAGAGCAAAGAAGCTTTACAGGATTTACATCCAGCCACAGTCCCCTAGAGAGGTAACCCCAGGGAAATGAAATCCATCAACACCGGGAAATGGAAATGTGTCCATCCCGGGGAGGGCACTGAGGCTGTCAAGCACTCGTGGGAGCCAGGGACTTTACACCCAGGGTCTCCCGAAATGCTGTAAAGCCAGTCTCACTAACTTCATCTTACACATAAGAAACCTGAGACTCTGAAGAAGGAGCTAGCTTGTCCAGCATCGCAGAGCCAGTAAGTGGCAAAGTTGGGATTCGAAGCTAGGCCTGTCTGGCTCCAAATCCTCTTGCCATTAAATGATCTTAATTCTCAGAGATGTTAAAAGGAAAAATAAGACTCTTTAGAGTAAGAACTTGCCTTAAAAGCAGGAACTATTTGGTCATCTGAAAAGTCATGACACATTTTTGCATAGAAAAACAGAAAAATACATCATTTTTCTGATGACCCAATACTAATACCATAAGTAAGCCTGTGGACATCCTGGCGACCTTGGGCTAAGTTTGCGAACACAGCAGGGCTTCCTGTCACCTGAAGTTAAACCTAGACACCCAGCAGACAGTCATTTACAACTGCCCAAGGAAAATAGAGTCGGGAATGAAACAGACGTGCTGAGAGACTTCCTGGTGAAGAGAGAACAGAGAATGAAAATGCTAAGGAGAGCCTGGGGAAGAACGTGCAGTTGGGGACCCCAAGCTCGGGACCTGTTCTGAGGCTGCCCACTGTCACGGTCCTCCTACATGCTGAGGAAGGGATCACACTGAGGCCTCACTTGCCGGAGGTGTATGCCGCATGTAGGGCATGTCTCCAGAAGACTTCCAAGGTCCAACGAGATCCTTTTCTCCTAGAGAAATCTGATTTTCTCCCTAGTCTTAGAAGGAAAAAAAAAAAAAAGAATTAAAAAAATAGGAAAAAAAGAAAAATTTTCAAAAGAGTATTTGAATATTTTATCACTCAGGACAATCCAGTGTTATTACTAGTTTCCTCAAATTCTTGTCTGGAAAATATTAGTTGTATTGAAATAACCACTTCTCCTCTTTCTTTCTCCACTTCTCCCCTCTCTCCACTTCTCCTCACCTTCTTCCCATTTCAAGGCATAGTTAGTTAAATCACCATTTGTGACTATTAAGGAAGATAAATGTTAAAATAGTACCAACTTCTCTTTTCCTTAAAAAGACTTCCAGCTCACATTCACACCCATCTCTTGTGTTTGTTCAACCGTTAGTCAATCAGTTTCAGTCACAGAATGCAGACATATGGTATAAGTTAAGTGGGGATATACAATATCTCTTCTTCATAGCCTGGCTTGCCTCACTCAGCAGTACATCTTCCATATTCTTCCACTTTCTGTCAAAAGTCAGGGTTCTGTTGGTTTTTATGGTTGAGTAATATTCTACAGAGTTTATGTGCCAGTTTTTCAATCCATTCCTCCATACGGGGGCATTTGGGTTGGTTCCATGACTTAGCAATTGTGAATAGTGTTGCAATAAACATCGATGTGCAAGCACTTTTCCAATGAAGAATTCTTCTGTCCTTTGGGTAGATACCGAGGAGTGGGATCTCTGGATCATATGGCAGATCTATCTGTAGATTTTTGAGGAATCTCCAAATTATTCTCCAGAGTGGTTGGATCAATCTACATTCCCACCAGCAGTGTAAAAGAGTTCCCCTTTCACCACACCCCCGCCAACACTTATCATTTTTTGTTTTTTTTTAATATTAGACATTTTGACTGGGGTTAGGTGGTACCTCATTGTTGTTTTTATCTGCATTTCCCTTATGATGAGGGAGGTTGAACATTTTTTCATATGCCTTTTGGCCATTCGTATGTCATCTTTAGCGAGTGTTTTTTTTCATCTCCTTCTCCCACCTTTTAATAGCGTTGATCATCTTTTTTCCAAACAGTTTTTTTTAGTTCCTTGTGTATTCTGGTTATCAGTCCCTTATCTGATGCAAAATTTACAAAAATATTTTCCCATTCTGAGGGCTGTCGATTCACACTAATTACTGTGTCGTTGGCCATGCAGAAACTTCTTAGTCTGATGTAATCCCATTTGTCTATTTTGGGGACGATCGACTCTGCTTTGAGGGTCTTCTTTAAGAAGTCTTTCCCCACACCAGTTTCTCCCAGAGTTTCCCCAGTGTTTTTCAGGAGCAGCTTTATAGTTTGAGGTCTTAGATTTAGATCCTTGATCCACCTTGACTTGATTTTTGTCAAAGGAGAGAGGTAGGGGTTCAGATTCATCTTTCTGCAAGTGGAAGTCCAGTTTTTCCAGCACCACTTGCTGAAGAGGCTTTCCTTTTCCCACTGGACTGACTGGTACCCCTTGTCAAAGATCAGTTGACTATATGGGCACTAGGGGATGGTTACGCCGCAATCCCTTCTCCTCCATTCTCCTCTCGGGATCTTGGGCACGCACGCACACGTGCCCAGCATGAGTTTTAAGCCACCGGGTCCGGGACGCAAACCGCAGTCGACTACATGGGAGTCCAGCGACATAGCCATTACGCTAACTGCTGGTTCCCTGTTAAAGATATTTTGATCAACGGGTCTGGGGAGAAATGTGCACATATTGAAATGGTCTCATGGTAAGCCAAACAATATGATTGAAAGTATATACAAAAAAACAAATAATAAATAATGTGAAAAAAAGATAAATATATGAAAATAAATTATATTTTTAAATTTGAAAAAAAGAAAAGAAAATATGGCTTTTCCGATCCAATAGTTATAATGTAGCTATTGTACTATATCCCTGTCTATACAGTAGTGCATGAGCAAGGAGAAACACAATCTATTGATATGAATACATTTTAGTATTTGTGTGAAAAAAAAAAAAAAAAAAAGACTTCCGGCTCACTAACTTCCTTGTTTGTGGAGTGTGTAAGGAAACCACCAGCATCCTCCTGAACAAACTCTGGCTTCTCAGACTGCACTGGTCTTGGGCCTTGCGGATTCTTTCCCACCCTGGATCTGAAGGTGGACATTTCCTCTTAAGAAAAAGTGAAAAGTGGATGTGTTATAAGCCTTTTTAGACACATAGGAAACTCCAAACCAAGTTAACCCTATTCCCCTGCAAAGGAGTGAGGGAGTAAGCCGAACCTCTCCGTTACGGTCTGTCTGCAGTTATGCTTGCTCACGTGTGCTTTCGCCTTTCAGATTAACATTGACAGTTCGACAAGAGAAAATATCATCAGGAATATTCAAGAACCTACTGAAACGTGTTTTGAAGAGGCTCAAAAAATAGTGTACATGCATATGGAAAGGGATTCCTATCCCAGATTTCTAAAGTCCGAAATGTACCAGACACTGTTGAAAACTATTCAGTCCAGCAATTCCTGACTCTCCCTGAAAGCTGAAATTCAAGATGGTGTATTCAAGTCCTGGCATTGGTCTTTTCATTTGGAAGAAGACAAAACCAGTAATAAAGTAGGAATTGAACAGAAATCAAACTATAAACTGATTTCTAGCTCTCAAAGAGAAAAGGGTCATGGAAGAAATGGGTTCTAGAACTCTTATGATGTGAGTAACATGTTTATATCTTACCTAGATATGAGTAGTTCAATTCCTACATAATGAAAAGGAAGACCTTTCTTCATGACACAAGCATTATAATGCTTTTTCCTATAATGGTCGACTAATGAATGTTCTCTTATTAATAAAATTTTGTGATTGTGCAGCACAGATTTTCTTAATATTATGTTTCTAGTATAAATATATTCTATAAAGTGCTCTTAATAACTTAAATAAGCAAACAGTACTATCAATATCATCAATTGTATTATAATAAGCAGTTCCTGAAGGGTATGTTTTTGAAAGTTATTTTATTTGTAAAATGTTTCTATTGTTATATTCATAATTTAACTTTTATATTGTATATATCCCCTGCATGTGAAAAACTCCTGGTGATTCTAAGCCATCAAAAATGGAGCCAGTTGGGACCAGCAGTTAGTGTAATGGCTATGTCGCTGGACTCCCCCATAGTCGACCACGTTTCACATCCCGGATCCGGTGGCTTAAAAACTCACACCAGGCGCATGTGCGTGCGTGCCCAAGATCCCGAGAGGAGAATGGAGGAGAAGGGATTGTGGCGTGACCATCCCCCCTGGGGGGTGATTTCTCGCTTTCTGTCTCTATGTCTCTCTCTCTCTGACTGGCGAGCGCACGTGCCCTATAGTGAAACCCTCCCCAAAAAAAAAGGGAGCCAGTCAGTGGCATGGTGGTTAAGGCAGCTGGAGTGGAAGGGAAGGGATTGCATGGGGGTAGGGATGTTTTCTCATTTCTTTCTCTCTCTGGCATTTTTTTTTCTTTTTTTAGAGATTTTTGCTATATGGCGTGTGTGCTCCAGAGAGACAGGAAGATAGAAAGCAAGAAATCAGTCCCCTCCCCACCCCAGGGAGGAATGGCTGCACTACAATCCCTTCTCTATTCTCCTCCTGGGATCTAGGGCACGCACGCACACGTGACTAGCATGAATTTGAAGCCACTGGGGCTAGGACTCAAACCACTGTCAGCCATGTGGGAGTCCAGTGACGTAACCACTACGCCATCTGCTGGTCCCCTGGCAATTTTTTTAAAAAGTATTTCTTCATTTTTTCTTGCACTTACCTTGTTGTAAGAGTAGAAAATTTGACTCCTCTATTTTGAGATATTTTTCTTCATGATGCAAATTGTCCTGGTAACCAGTAAATCTAAATATAAACTAAAGAGGTATAAATATGTGCTTTTCCAAAGACCCAATAGAGATATACTTCTAGTACAAATTTCTAAAGGCCTAAAGTTAGCATAACAGTGAGAATATAGAATAGTTTTGCTTTCCGTAATTTTAATGAAAGTGTAACTAATTTAACACATTCATTTGGTGTCTTCGCATTTCCATTTTAATACATGAAGGAATTCAGATCAGCATTCACGTGCAAAAGCTCAACATAATGCTTGTCCTGCAGCTCTGTCTTTTTAAAATAATTATCTATTACATTTTAGTTCTTCTTTTTATTATAATTATAATCAAATTTGCTATAAGGCACATGCACTTCACCAGGAAAAGACAGTCAGAGAGAGAGAGAGAGGGAAAGTGAGAAAGTAAATCACCAGGTCTAGGGCTTGAACCTCAGTCAGCCATGTGGGAGTCCTGCACCCCTACCACCACGTCACCTGCTGGCTCCTGCAGCCCTTTATTTTTAAAAGATCTGACAATTTTCAAGTCTTATATTTTTGAAGGAAGAAAACTCGTTAATGCTTTTTCCTTCCTTGCTATCATTTTGAAATCTTTATGATTTTTCTTGGTTTGAAAAACTGGCTTAAAATAGCTTTGGCTCTCCTAATAAAGCAAAGCGTTTCCTCTCTTCTTAGTGAATCACTAACTGTCACAGCACTGCAGTTTTTATTCTGTGAGACATGGCATTTTATTGTTACCTAGGAGAATAAGTTTTGCCCAGGCCCGATGCCCCTGTGATCCCAGGTGTTTTGTCTGTAGTGTTTTCCACTTTTGCACAATGAGTAGGGGCCGAGGACACCGTAACACGTACAGGTGCTAAGAAGGGCTTGGTAGATAAAGCACCATAACTCTCCCTCAGAAACTAAGGAAGCCCAGGAAAAAATAAATGAATGAATAAACACAGAGGTGTAACTGACATCATTAAAACCACGTTGATTCCTGCATGGTGAAAAGAATATTGAATTCATCGTTAAGAATCTTACATTTGGGTTGTGAATTTCCCAGTGTCGTTATATTAATTTATTCGGCTCTAGGCAAACTACAGAAAAGTATACAAATTATTTATTTTCTCTTTTATTCAGTTTCCTCATCTTTAAAATACGGTGATTAAAGAAAGTAGTACTCTCATTTATTTCTGGCTTCAGATTTTTGATTATTACCTTCAGTACTTTTAAATGACTCAGTTCTTCCACGCCCAAAGGGTTTCGTGTGACAGTCTCTTGCCTTCGCTCTAATTTTGTAACCGTATGGGGTATTTTCCAAAGTCAGCTTTGCTACAAAGGCGCTCTTTCAAGACCAGGTAGGCTCTGATGTCTGTAAGTCAGGGGCCATGGTCCTCATACGCTCCCCTTCTTCAGGCCTTTTCACAACATTCACTGCCACAGCCTGTGCTCCAGCTTCAAGAAAAGCCCTGATCATTTTTGGAAAACCATAAGGAGCCTCCCCCGAGAAATTAAGACTAGAACTGCCATAGGATCCAGCAGTCCCATCTCTGGGCACGTAGCCAAAGGAACTGAAAACAGGGCTTTGAAGAGATATATCAGCTCCCATGTGCACTGCAGTATTATTCACGAGTGCCCAATGTGAAAACAACCTAAATACCTATCAATAGATGAATGAATAAAGAAAATGCATGTGTGTGTGGGGGGGTGTACGCATGTGTGTATAAACAAGGACTATTTTAAGAATTTTCGGTGATTGCATATTTTGAAAAACTATGAGAGGATTTTAATTTTTTTTTTTTTTGGCATCAGAGTAAATTCATACTAACTTGTTTTACCATTTTTTTTTCTTTTTTTGGAGAGATTTTTGCTATAGGGCACGTGCGCTCGCCAGACAGAGAGAGAGAGACATTAAAGACAGAAAGCGAGAAATCACCCCCCAGGGGGGATGGTCACGCCGCAATCCCTTCTCCTCCATTCTCCTCTCGGGATCTTGGGCACGCACACACACGCGCCCGGTGTGAGTTTTAAGCCACCGGGTCCGGGACGCGAACTGCGGTCGACTACGTGAGAGTCCAGCGACATAGCCATTACGCCAACTGCTGGTTCCCTGCCCCAGAACGTTTTGAAATTACCTCATATATGCGTGCACAATGAAATATTAACTAGCTTTTAAAAAGAAGGAAATCTTGCCTTTTTTTTTTTTTTTGAGAGAGATTTTCACTGTAGGGCGTGTGCGCTCGCCAGACAGACAGAGAGAGACATAGAGATAGAAAGCGAGAAATCACCCCCCAGGGGGGATGGTCACGCCGCAATCTCTTCTCCTCCATTCTCCTCTCGGGATCTTGGGCACGCACGCACACGCGCCCGGCGTGAGTTGTAAGCCACCGGGTCCGGGACACGAACCACGGTCGACTACGTGGGAGTCCAGCGACATAGCTATTACGCTAACTGCTTGTTCCCAATCTTGCCGTTTTTGTCAGATGGATGGAGCTGGATGGTACTGTGCTAAGCCCCCCAGTGGGGATGGCCATGCTGCAAGACCTCCTCCTCCGTTCTCCTCTTGGGATTTTGGGCACACATGCACATGCACATCATGTGAGTTTCAAGCATAACTATAAATCAAATTGGAATAATTCACATTCTTTACCCTTTATTTCTCCCCTTGAAAGGAGGGATATTTGTACACTCAAATAGAGTGAGTCTCGAGCTTCCCATGTTGCTTATATTCAGATCGCACCCCTTAAATACTGTAGTCTCTCTACCTGGCTCTCTTGGCACACCCCCAGCCTGCTGGGTGAACAGCACCATATGATGTCATGAAACAAAAAGCTCTGGGTGAAGGGGCAGAGCAACTGGAGCCAAGCCTGTTCACATACTTGTCCCGGAGCCGTTCGTCCAGGAGGCTTCACTTCGCTCTTCTGTGAAATGCAGCGGGGCCAGATGAGGGCGTAACCCATGTGCCCTGGATGTCCCATTGCATCCAGTTACTAATATGTCCACGTCTTCTTTCCTGTAACTAGCCTGGACTCATTCTCAAGACTAGTTCCTCCAAAAGTTAAAGTTTTCATGAGCAGATAGATATTGAACTATTTTGTGCTTCACACTAAAGGATTTCTTTTGAAATGTCTGACTTAGAAGCTAGTAATTTTTTTAACGAATTATTTTATTTTATTTATTCATTAGTTTATTTTAACTTGACTAGAGATACAGAGTGAGAGAGAAAAGAGAGAGAGAGAAAGTGAGAAAGCAAGCCACCAGGTCTGGGACTTGAACCATGGTCGGCCATGTGGGAGAATCCAGTGCCTCAACCACCATGCCAACCCCTGATCCCCAGAAGCAAGTAATTAAAACTTAAATTCTATCCGCACTTAAAAAAAATTATTTCTTTATTTAATTTTATTTGTTATCGTTATTATTATTTTATTTTTTTTTTATTTGACCAAAAAGACAGAGAGAGAGAGAAGGGGAAAGTAAGAAAGTAATTTGCTAGGTCCAGGGCTCAAACCACAGTTGGCCATGCAGGAATCCAGCACCTTAACCACCACACCACCTGACAGCCCCATGCACTTATTTTTATTTTCATTTATTTCCTCCATGAGTGAGCAAATCAGAAAGAGAGAGAGCTAGAACCCAACAGAGTCCTGGAACCTCAGACCACGCGAGCCTTGGCCAGCCCTGTATCGTGGACGTCCGTGTGCCCGCACATGCACGAGTTCTCTGGACCCACATGCAAAACCTTTCACTGGAGATCACCTCGCAGAGCGTGCTGTTTTACCGCTGCACCGCCATCGGGCCCTGAGCTTGCTCTTAGGTGCCATCAGTCCAAGAATTCTATATGAAGTGTGAGTTTTGTTTTACTGGTAGTTAGGATAGTCTGCGATGTTTGAACTTCATAATAGTCTAAATTCTGCTCATTTTTTTAGGAGTTATTTTAGTTAACAACTAATTTTATTAAAACAGTTCAGAAATTAGTATTTATCAAATGGCTACAAGAATATACGCATACAGACCCA